TACAGAAACTTTTGCAGGTCTCTGGATTGGTGAATCGTTCCATCTACCATTATGAATCTCTGCGGACAAAATGAGGATGAGCCAGCCACAACTGAGGAGGTAAGCACATTATGTGAGTGAGTATACACAGAAGGAGTTACATCATAAGTAGTATTTTGCACTGAATGAGTTGGATCTTTCTGTTTAGCATTAACCGGCGTTGGGGTCTTTGGACAATAGACCAGAGAAATGTGGGAGGAAGTTGGTGAGTAGGTCTGTAATCTGGAGAGTGTGGGTGTACTGGTGAGTCTTAGTTTTTGCATTTGACTTTCTATTTTGGCATCTCTCCTCAGAAAACAATCAGTTACCGCCCTTTCTAATTTTTCCAGTGATTTTAGTAAATAATCCTCCAAACCAGCCAAGCTAGCGTCCACGGCCTGCCTGAAACTGGTCTCCCGGTTTACTGTACTGTCTATTGACTGTTTAAAATCATGTTCTATATTTTGTACTCTTTTATTGAGGGCCAATAAATCCACCTTTACTTGTGCTATGTCTGCCTGCATTGTCTGTACTATTTCACCACTTAAAATATTGCTTCCTTTATCATCATCATCAGATTGATCAGAGTCAGAAATGTATAATGAGCTTATCATAGATGTTATTTCAGCGGTAGGATTGTGCCTGGTTACAAATGGGCCTGCTGTAAAATCCACATCTAGTTGTTCAACAATCTCTTGGTCATTTACAGGTGTACTTGGATTATCGGTATTCACAGTGTTCACAGTATTAACACCAGTAACCGGATCAGCATTTGTCACATCCATTTGAGCACGTTGAGCGTAGCTTTTGAATGCTGCTAACCAGCTTCTTTTATCGGAAGTGTCAACTCATCTGATCCATGTGACGTCACGGGGATTCCCTAGCGCGTCGCGAGCGAACTCTCGCGAGAAGAAACGGGGTCCACTACACTCAATGTGCTCACTTGGGAACACATACAACAATCGATCGTCTCTTACGTTCTGCTGTTATTTGCTGTGACTATTGTGGAATTCTCAGCGTGGAATGGTCAAATTGGTGGGACTATTTAAGTTAGATTTCCTCACAGTACAGCGCTGTTCCTTAACGTGTTATATAATTCACCGTGAGGCCGAACTGAACACACACACACACAGACACACTCATACTATTGGACTTTCAAGGACAGTACGCACACATGCTCATACATTGATTGTATATATCGTTTTTTTTGTCGTCTTGTAAAATACACTCTGGGTTGGCATTCATTATTTATCTTGGTGGTTATTTATTGTGCCTGCATTCCTTCAAATCCCACTATTAAGAGGTAAGAAGAACAAACTTTATTTGTGTAGCCTGCCTTATTTAGGCTGGGTGTTACACAGGTTAAATGAAATAAGCATTTTCGTATATGTATTTCATCCGGGGTTTGCTATATTCAGCGGTGTAATCTCAATTTCACACTGTTTAAATCTAAGGTTGATGCTTCATGATGATAGCTTTTTTGTTATCTCTCAAATGGACCACTGACACTATCTACAATCTCAATTAGGAGTGTCAATGGTCCATTTGAGAGATAGGTGGTGGTAATGCACTTATAATTCTGTGATCCGCCGTAAAGCAAGAAGAAGATGCATACACGCTCAGGACACTTCAGACATTGCAGTGCATCAGACGTTAAAAAAACAATATAAATACTGTTCAGTTTCTTGCACAGACCGATCGTTTCGTGTCTTTACACATCAATGTATCGTCACGAGCGGCAGGGTTTAATTTGGTTTTGTTTGTGTAGTTTTTTTTTTTTTACTCTCAAAGCCGTGATTCCCATTCACATCCATTATAAGACTGACAGACTGCAACGGTTTGACTTAAAAATCTTCATTTGTGTTCTACTGAAGAAACAAAGTCACCTACATCTTGAATGCCCTTGGGGGTAAGCAGATAAACATCAACTTTTCATTTTTGGGTGAACTATCACTTTAAGCTCTTAACATCTGGCAACCACAAGCATGAATGCTAGTGAAGACTTGTTAGCAATGCAAGATAATGCAAATGCCAAAATAAAAACATGTTTTCAATATCGTGACAATTATTTTTAATTAACCGTAAAAGGTGGATATCGTTATCGCAATTAAAATACGATTAATCGTGCAGCCCTATTTCTCACCGCTGCATTTTGTGTGGAGCGCAATTAATAATCAGTTGAATGATAGATAATCAGTATCTAATTTGGCGAAAATAAATGTATTCAAAAATATTTATTCTTGTTTATTATATTTCATCTGTACACACAAAGAGCTGCGCACTTTCAATTAATTCTTACACTTTAGTAGACTAATACATTTTGCTTATATGCCGGTAGAAACACCTTCTAGTGTTGTCAAATGTCCCATAGGTTGCTGACCCCTGCTCTAAAGGAACAAGAGGACCGAAACCACTGAAATGGTAAGCAGAAGGTTGCTGGTCAAACTCCGCAGCCACCACCTCCAGTGTCTCTTTGTACAAGCCACTTTACTCCAGGCTGCTCCAGGGTCATTTTCCCTGTAATAAATGCACTGCAAGTCACTTTGGATAAATGCATCTGCCAAATGCAAATTTCGAAGGAAAATTTTTTATCCCTTTCCTCCTCCTCTCTCCTCTCACTCACTTGTTTCCCGGCCCCAAAATTTTTGAGAATTCAACATTATATATAAAGCGTTCTGGTGCATTCTGACAACAAAATAAAGGAAAAAGACAACATATGCTTCAAGTAAAAAAGCACATTTATACCACAAACTGTTTGGACAGTGCAACTCTGTTGTCATCGGTGTTCATACTTCTCTTTGCGAGCAGTGGAGTAATTTATTTTTGCAAATTAAAATTTTCACAGAGTGCGCATGCTATCAACAAACTCCATCTTTTCACTGCTGAGGAGACAGAAGCTGCATCTGAAGTGGCATTAGATGTATTTACACAGACTGTTTAATGAAGCTGAGGTGCCATAAATGCATTTACACCACAAAATGTAAAATGCATAAATCATTTGATAAGATTAATGTAATAAAATATTTATGAACATACAAGTTTATAATGTTGGGAAAAATGCAATACTTTTAAATATGAAACCAAACCACCAGTAGATGACGGTAAATACCTGTTTTAATGAGCGAGTCATTAGTCATTCATTCAAACAGCTGATTCATTCAAAAACGAGGCAAGTGACTACTGTCTTTATGAATGGGTTACTGAATCATTGACTCACTTGATTCATTCAAAAATGTGGATTCATTCGGTATCGAAACACCAGTGTTGAATCTCTCTCTCTCCGCCCAGACATATATATATATATATATATAAAATCTTTTATATTTGAATTGTTTCAGGGCAGTTCTTGAAGACAGAGAAACATGACAGCTGTTGTGACAACCAGGACAGAAGTCAGTTCCAGTTCCATCTGCCACACCAGACTCTATTAACACTAACCCAGCTAAACCAAATGTTGTTTGTTATTTGTAAATGGTTAATCTCTGTATTTTGAGTAAAGTTTTAAAGGGGTCATATGACGTTGCAAAAAACAACATTATGTTGTGTATTTGGTGCAATGCAATATGTTTATGCGGTTTAAGGTTAAAAAAACACATTATTTTCCACATACTGTACATTATTGTTTCTCCTCTATGCCCCGCCTTTCTGAAACACGTCGATTTTTACAAAGCTCATTGGTCTGAAAAGCGAGGTGTGCTGTGATTGGCCAGCTATCCAGTGCGTTGTGATTGAAACGAGGCATTTGTTGCATCCAGTGGGGACATAATTACTGATTATAATGACTTATACTGTCGCGCCGCATAAACATAAAACATGATCGGAGAAATGACAAACAACAAGTGCTACTCTACACTGCTCAAAACTCACAGTTGAATCATCAGTGGCAAATTATTTATATATGAAAAACGTACTTACAGGCTGTGAGTCGGAAGCGCCAGACTGTCCTAGCAAAGTTAGAGCTGCCCTACTTTATAGAAACAGCCTTTGTGCCACAGACACATTGTAGTCTACTCTCCCAGGATCAGGAAATAGTCCTCCATAAAATGCGCTGCACACATCTGAATATTTGGGTTGAAGTGTTCTGGAACAGTGTTGTAAATACAACTTAACCACTGATTTCTAGTTGTGTCCTCTTTTGGAAGACCAAACAAAGTAGTTTCGCTTTCACAACGAAACACACACGCCGGGCTTTCTCTTTGGATTTGAGACTTTAGTCTTTGCAACTTTACAGATCTTCTTTATGCACCAAGAGCTTGTAACACTCCAAAGAGAAAGGAACAATTGAAATCGCATCATATGACCCCTTTAAGTTGCTTTTATTTTCATGATTTTCAGACAAAAACACTGTCTAGAAGTTGCTTTACACTTACACATAGAAATTAGTTTGTCAGTAAAACGAATAAATGAAGTCTAAATGAGACTTTATAAGGTGTTGAAAATATGTCCACAATGACAAAATTTGAACCAGTTTTTAACCTTGTATGGAGGTCCCATGAAAGACCCTGCTCTGGAGTAGGAGCTAATTTGGTTCTTGAAAAAGGCAGTCCGGTACTAAAATCTCACCCAGTTCCGGCGGTGCGAAAACGCCAAAAAGTGGGTAGTTCCACAAATAGTTCTGGTACTATGAAAAGGTTCCTGCGGTGCGAAAGGCCCTATTATCAGACGTGCAGAAGATGTCAAAAAAAGACTTCGTAAAAACATTAATTCTCGCTCCTCAGGGGGAATCTTTGCCATGTCCAACAAAGATGTTGTCGAAAAGACATCTTTTAGATGTACCTTTGCTCAGTGGGCAGGCCCTTTACTGGTGACAAAACTGAAGATCACTCATAAAGCTTTCTTTCAGGATTACAGCGAATGGCTGACATAAGGCATGCTAATGCCGTGTGTCCACCAAAGCATTTTTTTTTTACCTGAGGCTAGCGTATTTTTTTCGGTTGTTTTCAATGGGAGCGCCACGTTTTTAAAAAAAATGGCAGGAGAGTGCCGAGCACTGAGCGCTAGGGTGCTTTTTAAAAATCGCCAAGAGTTCAAAAATCATTTAAAACAAGAGCCATAGCAAATATTATCCATTGTATCATCATTTATATATTCAGAAAAAAACCTGTGAAATCAGACACTATAAAACTTCCGTGGATATTCTGTATCATAGCAAGTATATCAATTTAAAAATGCCATCTCGGAATCAAACGAGCCTATAAATGCTTTTTTATTGATGACAGGGACATTTTAAGTTTTGTAACTTGCAGGATGTATTGTTGCAAAGACCTCTTATATGCCAAAAGATCAAGGCAAATTTGCCCCTATTATGCCCCTTTTTACAAGATGTAATTTAAGTCTCAGGTGTCCCCAGCATGTGTCTGTGAAGTTTCAGCTTAAAATACCTCACAGATCTTTTATAAATCCCTGTTGAATATGCCCATTTCTGAGCACAGATGAAAACGCTGTTTTGTTGCATGTGCCTTTAAATGCAAATGAGCTACTGCACCCCGCCCCCTCTCCATTGATCACACACAGCTCCTGCCTCAGTCGCTCTTAAACATACAAATATCAACATTCATGAAAAAGAAGTGAAATAGACATTGGGGAAAACAGCATTGCAGCAACCTTATTCACATCGGGGTTTCTGAATTTTAGTGTTTTTCTTCTCTTCTTTCATTTGTTTATTATTTTTTTCCCTTTTGTCTTGCTTATGGTGGTGTCTAAGTTAAATGTAAAACTCTGAACTCGTTTTGTTGGTAGCCGATTATGTTTGCTGTTTGTTATGTGATTTTGCTGACTGTTTATAATAAATTTGTAAATGAAGTTGGTTCTGAGAAATGTTTTCAGGTTTAATTTGCTTTTTTCTACCTTTCATATGTAATTGATGGTTTTAAATAAGTTATCCGGTGTTTACGTATTGACAGGATTAAAACCCTGTCTGGCAACCGAACAAAAACAAAGAAAAAACAAATGTAATTTTTTTTATTTTTTATTATTTGATAGGCCACCACCATTACACGTGGCAGCCATTGTAAGTCCACAAGACTGTAAGTGCATATGAAGTGTGCCATTTGAGATTGGGCCTCAAAAGTATGCTTCATGAACATTTGCACTGGCCTACTTTTTCACATCCTGCACTGACGTACAGTTAAAATGTGTCTTTTTATTCTTCTAAATTGATTGTTTATATCAGGGCTATTCAACTGGCGGCCCGCGGGCCAAATCCGGCCACCAATCATCTTCATCCGGCCCGAGGGTAAAGTATGCACAGGTCGCATATATGCCTTGAATTGTTGTCCACATGGTGGCAATACTGGCCTGGGCCATCCGAAAAAGAAAAAAGATGCAATAAAATAACTTCTGGCGAGAAATAGCGCAAACACTGGACGAAAATTATTGTCAAATGAAATATAGTGAAAGGCTGCGCATTTAGCTGTACACATGCGCTGAGACGCTTCAGACAGACTGCCAGTAGCACTTCAACTGACAAAAACACACACAATTGTCAAAATGCACAGTTTTGGCGGGTTACCTCCTAAACGCAGTCTTAACGGAGTTATAAAGTCTTAAATGGCCGTAAAGAGTTTGGAGAAAATCAGATGCGTGTCAGATCCGCGTCATGTGCATCAGGTTTTAAAGTGACAGTGCAGCTTTTAAAGTGAAACTCGCTGAAGTAAATCAAAGAACAAAAGAAAAAGAGAAATCACTCGACTGCTCTAGTCGCTGATTAACATTTGTAGCTTGAATAAGATCTTGGCCTAGTTGAGCCATGTACGCAATGTAGTTGTGGAAATGTAACATCTTTGAGGCCACATTATTGACCAGCCTCAGAGTGTGGTCGGTGCTCTCCTGGTTGCCCTGGTACTCCTTGAGGAGGATGTCTGCGAAAAAAAAACAGAAGAACAATGGGGTCAGAACAATGGCCACAGAGTGAGAAGGAGAAGCGACAGAGCATGGTACTCACTCAAAGCCGGCACATGGTCGAGGAAGGGGTGCTCCTCTTGTTGCTGAGATGGCGCCGTTGCAGGGGGCTGGTCTCAGGGGCCCTGGCCAGCCGGTTCCCCCGAAGGCCCAGCACGGGGCTTGCCTTACTCCTCCTCCGCTGCCTTCTCAGGAGATAGAAGAGCGACAACACTCTTCCATTGACCTGGGCAGAGGGGGTGAGTCGCAATCTCCTCCTCAACAGGCAGTAGCGGCGGGTCATGTCTCTGAGGGCCTGGCTCAGTGTGTCCACCTGCCTGTTGAGGTCTGCCACCTCATTCCTGAGGTTTTGGCAGCGGGGGTTGTCACAGGCCCGCTCCTCCTCCTCCAGAGTTAAGGTGTGGTTGTGAGAGTCCTCCTGGTCGAGGGTCGAGGCCATGGGCACGGCCGGGTTGCTCGCCCTCAGCTCGGAAAGGTCATGCAGGATCTTCCTCATCTTCAGAGCCTGTATGGTCTCTTGCCGGGCTGCCGCCGTTAGCTCAGTGTGACCAATCAAGTGGCGGTCTATACGGGAGGTGAACTTGCCACAGGTGGGCACAGGGCAGGTACCCTTGCGGACGTCCACCCTCCCGGAGGAGATGGCAAGGAGCAGCTTCCTTTCCTGAAGGTTCATCACCCTGTGGGTCACCCTCAGGTGCTGGCTCAGCCTGGAATATACACGTTCGCAGAGTGGGCAGTCTTCGAAACCCATGATGTGAAGGGAGCGAGAATCAAACACAAATGACAGATACTGTGTCAGTAGGTCATCTATATCCTTTGCAGGTTCAAACAGGCAAAAAAATTGGATCAGTTCAAATAGACTAGAAATTGGATCATTCAATGAATTTCAAATTGCAGAAAAATAATGCATTTCTCTCTAATAAAGCATTTTGTTACCTCCCATAAGGATTGAGGATTGTTTATGGAACCACTATTCAAGTGAATAAACTCTACTAGGGAGGTACGTAGCTGTGATAGAAATTCTAAATCGTGGAGTAAAGATGTATTAAACATCCAACGTTTACGCCCAGAGGGAGCAGAAAATGGAAGAAAACACAAAGTTACTGGGGAGTGGTCTGAAAGATTGAGAGGTTATATATCAGTGTTATCAATAAATGGAATATAAGCAGGTGATATGAGCAGATAATCAATGCGAGAAAAGGATTTATGGCAAGCTGAGAAGAACGTATAGTCCTTGGCCCTGTCATTTCTCAATCGCCATATCACACACATTGTCCTCTATTATAAAGTCATTCAACAACTTTGAGGAGGCCAAATCAGATTGAGACATTTGTGACCTATCGAGTAAGGGGTCATGCACAGCATTGAAGTCTCCGCATATCACGAGGTGATAGTCAATAAAGATTAGTATCATATGAATGAGCTGTTGATAGAACGCACTCGCTAGGGGCATATTATGAGACAAAGGTGCATTTAATATTGGACCATGTATGAAGTAGGTATGTAATACGACCATGTGCATCACCCTTAGAACAATGTATGGAAAAGGGAAGGCGCTGAGCTGCCAATATCAAATCCCCCTTAGTTTTCTTAGCAGATGAAGAAGAAACTAATTTATAAAGGTGCCTTTAAATGAGATTCCTGTATTAGTGCAACAGAAGCCTGTCCAACTATTTAGTCCTTTTAACGGCACTATTTAAACCACTGACATTCCAAGATATTATGTTAAGTGCCATAAATCAGATTTAATAAGGATATAATAATGTACATCCTCGAGTGTAAAACAGTGGACTTGCGTGGATAAATCATGGCATCTGGAACTTTAAGAGGACAAGAACAAGAACTGAATGAGAAGGTAGTAAGCAGATAGTTAGAATTACCGTATTGGCCCGAATATAAGACGACCCCCCGTTTTCCAGATGTACCCTTTTGGAAAAAGGCTTTCTAAAAACCAAATCTTGTTTTTTCTCAGTAAAACACATTTTGTCTTCAATTATTTTCATATTGCATATTTTTCCTTTTTTAATTTTTTTTTTGAAAGTATGGTAAAAACTGGTAAAATGTACCAACAATCACATTTAAAAAAGATAGTTTTTGATATACCATTTTTTTTTTTTTTTTTTAAACAGGTAGCCCGTCTGAATTAGGACATTTAGGCTATCCATCTAATAGTAGCCTACCAAAATCTTATTAACAGTAGAAGTTCAATCTTACTGTAGTCTTCAAATCTGGGTACTGTCTTACGTTTTAAAATCACAAAGAGAGTTTGGTCCCATCAGGCTAACGTGACCGTCACGACTCATGCAGCTGTAAGCTTTTCTTTCTCTTTTGTTTTTACTCGCGATCTTTACAACACGCATTACATTACGTATTTCACGGCACACTGGTTTTATGTGTATTTGGCGCCACCTATTGTTGTGGGTGTATTATTGGCATGTCAAAGTCTAGACCCTGAATATAAGACCACCGCATTTTTTCAGATGTATTTCCAAGAAAAAAACATCGTCTTATATTCGGGTCAATATGGTAACTCTCCTTCGTGCCAATACAACAGCCTCTGGATACGTTGCTAGCATAACAGTCAATCACTTGAGTCCAAAGGCCAACTCGGCACCACAGTTCACTAGAGTATTGCTTGCCATAGTCGCGATGTTAGAAGTGTTGTGCGAGTTTCTTCCTAGACTGATTCATCTTGCATCTTTTCGTGGTGGTTTATTTACTGTAATCGGGGAAGAAAAGAAGCGAGCTGCCCTTGTGGCGTATTTGACCCGCGGCTCGGGCTCCTTTGAGGATCGCATTTCTGTTCTGAAACCGCAGGAGTTTAAAGATTAGTCTTTGCGGACCCTTTCTGTTGCCGTCACCGGTATATATTCGATCGATGTGCCCTATCTATCTCGATCGATCTGCTTTTAAGGGAGGGAATCTACAGGGATAGTTGAGTTTGCATGAAGACTACAGGGTCGCTGCCCTCTTCCCCTTTTTTTAAGACAAACGGGACAAATATTGCACTGACGACTCTTGTCTTCCAGTCTCGCCATCTTGTCTTGCAGCATATCGACGGCCTGCTTATCTTTGGCCGAATCTTGCCTGTAAAAACCAAATCTTGTTTTTTCTCAGTAAAACACATTTTGTCTTCAATTATTTTCATATTGCATATTTTTCCTCTTTTAATTTTTGTTTTGAAAGTATGGTAAAAACTGGTCAAATGTACCAACAATCACATTTAAAAAAGATACAGTTTTTGATATACCATTTTTTTTTTTTTTTTTTAAAACAGGTAGCCCATCTGAATTAGGACATTTAGGCTATCCATCTAATAGTAGCCTACCAAAATCTTATTAACAGTAGAAGTTCAATCTTACTGTAGTCTTCAAATCTGGGTACTGTCTTACGTTTTAAAATCACAAAGAGAGTTTGGTCCCATCAGGCTAACGTGACCGTCACGACTCATGCAGCTGTAAGCTTTTCTTTCTCTTTTGTTTTTACTCGCGATCTTTACAACACGCACTACATTACGTATTTCATGGCACACTTGTTTTATGTGTATTTGGCGCCACCTATTGTTGTGGGTGTATTATTGGCATGTCAAAGTCTAGACCCTGAATATAAGACCACCGCATTTTTTCAGATGTATTTCCAAGAAAAAAACATCGTCTTATATTCGGGTCAATATGGTAACTCTCCTTCGTGCCAATACAACAGCCTCTGGATACGTTGCTAGCATAACAGTCAATCACTTGAGTCCAAAGGCCAACTCGGCACCACAGTTCACTAGAGTATTGCTTGCCATAGTCGCGATGTTAGAAGTGTTGTGCGAGTTTCTTCCTAGACTGATTCATCTTGCATCTTTTCGTGGTGGTTTATTTACTGTAATCGGGGAAGAAAAGAAGCGAGCTGCCCTTGTGGCGTATTTGACCCGCGGCTCGGGCTCCTTTGAGGATCGCATTTCTGTTCTGAAACCGCAGGAGTTTAAAGATTAGTCTTTGCGGACCCTTTCTGTTGCCGTCACCGGTATATATTCGATCGATGTGCCCTATCTATCTCGATCGATCTGCTTTTAAGGGAGGGAATCTACAGGGATAGTTGAGTTTGCATGAAGACTACAGGGTCGCTGCCCTCTTCCCCTTTTTTTAAGACAAACGGGACAAATATTGCACTGACGACTCTTGTCTTCCAGTCTCGCCATCTTGTCTTGCAGCATATCGACGGCCTGCTTATCTTTGGCCGAATCTTGCCTGACTTTCCGCAATGCCATCTGGATGTTATCAAAATTGTTGCTAATCACTCTCAACTCTCTTCCAGGGAACCAATTCTGGTAACACTTTATAATAACTTTCATTAATAAATCATTAACAAACATTATGTAATGCTTAACGGATCATTAGTATATATATATTCACATATCCAGAAACGTGAAATAATGTGCTTGTTAATGTTAATTTCATGTAAATTGAAATGCTTACAAATGTCATTAAACTTCTAATTCATATGATCATGCACTTGTTGAAAATCTACAAATGATTTTAACCGATGTTATACAATGATTAAAAGCTTTTGTTAATGCACAACACCTTTGCTGCTGTTGAGGTGTGATACGGGTACGGTTAGGCTCAGGTTTGGTGTATGGTTGGGTAAGGGGTCAACAAGTGCACAGGGTCAATTTGATCACTATAAGGGAACACGATTCAATCTGCAACAATCTTCTTGTATTGCATTGCTTTGATAAATGAAGTATTTTCTTCAATTACTCAAGAATTATACCCCCCCCCCAAATTCAAGGAATATTCTGTTTAACGATTCACAATATTATACTAATATAAGTGTTGAGGTGATAAAAACATGTTTTGCACCCAAATCTTGTGAGTGCACGAGACTGATGCTGCTAAAAGTAAGTTACTAATGTCGAATTTTAGGAATTATTGTAACTGAAAATCATATTTAGGTCAAAACTGTCAGTTTGTGAACTAAATCTGCTGTAAAGGGTGATCTATTTAAGCCCACTGAAATGCTTGAATGCAGACACATCAACATCAGAGTCTCTATGTTTTAGGTAAAAACCCTGAAACATTCAAATAACACAGACTAAATAAAATAACTATGCACGTTCATATTCCACGCTGCCGTAACTGCCCAATTACAATGTGGGTAATGTCTTTACCAAACATTTAGCTAAACTTAACTAACCACCCTTTACACAAACGTTGTTAAAGTAGCTAAAAGTCCAGTGCCAATAAAGATACTAAAACAATTAGTAAATGTTTATAAACATTTACTTTACTTTAGATTGGGTACTGCAAAAACATTAACAAATAATTAATAAATGATTTAAGATGTGTAAATAGTAGAAGTCTACACAACAAAGACCAAATATATGACCTTTACAGACTGTGATTACGAGTTAATGAATATATTAACATGAATAGTTTGTGAAGTGCTTAAAATGACTAATTAAGCTATATCTTCACAACATTTGTAAATGTAAAATTTTTAAAACGCATTGAAAGTTTAATGACATCTGTAAACATTAACTAATGATCCGTTAAGCATTATATACTGTTTGTTAACGATTTATTAATGAAGCTCATTGTAAACCATCTGTCAAGATCATTTGAAGATTAAAAAAAATTGCATGATCATATGAATTGAAAGTTTAATGACATTTGTAAGCATTTCAATTTACATTAAATAATGATCTGTTAATCATTTGGTAATGTTTAATAAGTTCATTAGTTAACATTAACAAGCACATTATCTCATATTTCTAGATATGTGAATATATATTAAGTAATGATTAGTTAAACATTATATAATGTTTATTTATGAAAGTTATTATAAAGTGTTACTCCAATGCTTTCTGCGATCGGTTGAAACTCCTTAAAAATTTCACCTCTCCAGAGAAAAATGGCTGAAAGATCTGGATAACGAAAAGCTGCACATCATGGTGGATGACGAACTAAAACTACAGCGTGGCCGCATTGTGTTTTTGATTGATGTTTCGACTCCGGTCCAATTATCGACATAAAAAATTGCCTTTTTATTTTTTTGGGCTAGTTAAATTCTTTTCAGGTTACCAAAATCTCAACAGTGCCAGCCCGAAGGGCTACCAGGGATTTTGGATTATAATGTTGCGAGCCCTGTACAGTACAGTGTGAGCCTCTTATTCAAAGCGGCCAATGGACCGATCCATCACCGAGCGAGTCCTTTGGTGTCTGTCATTATACCGTCTAGAGTCAAGAGTGCATGATTGGTAATATTTTCTCAGAACACGAGTTCTGCGATGTAGAACACAATTTATAATGGAATCATCATGTGCCAAGCAATCCTCGCTAGTTAAAACATGAAAACACAGAATGCCGCAGGAAAAGTGCATCCACTACAAATATTTCCCTTTAAACGCATATAAAAAAAAGTTGTAACTTCTGGATAATGATTTCATGTCATTTGAGTGCGGAGTGACATATTTAATCTAAAAGTGTATATCAGATGTAAAACAGCTTAAATCAAGTTTACTTCAGTGCTTCACTCACTCAGAGTGCATAAGCAAGGTCTAAAGTGTCTGTACGGTGCGCACATATTTATGCCTAGTTTATTTTGTAATTCCCCATACGCCCATTTTATACATCAGGCCCCAGGAGAAGAAACACCCATCCTAGATCAACTTGTGATGCTACATTTACAACCCAGCTTGAGCAAACAGATGTCTGATAAAAATATAAGTTTGTTATAAAATTAGTGTGCAATGGTGGTTTTATTTGCTCATCAAAGCCCTTTAAATGAAGAACAATTGCGGACAGCAGCAGTAACTACCAAATGTAAAGCCGATTACCCACATTTCAGAGTTCACCTCACGCAAAATAAATGTTTTTGTTAAATACTGTCGCATAATTAATTGATAGAAATAAATGGTTTTCATCGTTTTCAATTCAAAAGTAGATATTAGGTTTAATGTTACACAAAATAATTTTTTTGTTGTGCAACTTCTGCATTATTTCTTAATTTAATGCGTGACGTGTCGACAGCCAGCATTAGTATTTGTCTGGTCATGTCGGTCCACATGCGTCGAATGAAACCACTTTAATTAGGACACTTATATGACATTCTTCACAAATATCTTTCATTTCTGTGGAGCTGGACATTTGAATAAGGATCAAAATCAAAAATTGAATAAGGATTCTTCAGCTTTGAGAATAAACACCAACCTGTTTGTGTCTCGGCATCTTCATGTTTGACTCTGAACGCTTTTTTATTCTTCGTGTCTTCACTCTCCTCTCTAATAAACGTTTGTGTCTCACCATCTTCATATGTGGACAAATCTTCGGTTTTCATGTCTTCACTCTCCTCTTTTACAAACGCCATCTTTGTTTGTGTCTCAGGATCTTCTTGTTTCATGCTGAATACATCTTTAATCTTAATGTTTTCGCTCTCCTCAAACTCCATCTCTGTTTGTTCCTCAGTATCTTCATGTTTGAATCCTTCTTCAATCTTCACGTCTTCACTCTCCTCTTTAATAAACTCCATCTTTATAATCGTGAGTCACGTGGATCTCAGTCGCTTCGGGCGGAAGTTTTTCTGTGTTTGGACACTTTGTCCTGTTTAAGATGAGAATAATTAACAGAAAGAAAAATAAATGCAAACTAAATCAGCTGTAGGGTTGCCACCCATCCCTTGAAATACTATAAAATACTACATATTTAAAGGTAAAATGATGCATCCCATATCAAAGCAATACGGTTTACGAAGCAATTGCGATTTGTTCAACTTTTTTGTCCCGATAGTTGAATCAGCAAATAACGATTCTGCAGTGTGCGTAATACTAATAGCAAGTATAATTAAATCAATTTCATAAGAACTATTAGAGGAGCTAATTTGCGCGTGATTGCATTTTGGCGACTTTGTTTCTATAGCGCCGCCGCAAAGGCCTTTTCACGCATGCGCTAAACCTGCGCGGGTTTTAAAACCTCAAGCAAAGTTGTCTGTTGTGTGAATGCTGCATCTATAAGTTTTAAAGTTTCGATCCACAACCCTCGTCGTTTGTTCTGGCGAGGACGTACAGAGTAAATGGTTGTTGCATGTATTTAGATGTTTATTTACACAACGCCTCCCTTTTTCTAATGACACCGTCACTAAAGTGATCCGTTTTCCATAAAGAGCAGGTCGTGCAGCCTTCTTCCTCCAGAATAAATCTGGTTAATTCTTCTATCGATAAGAACCGGAGCTTTACTACATGACGGAATTTTCATTTTGGGGTGAACTATCCCTTTAAGGTGACGGACACATCCGCGCTTCTAAAGGTATAGACCTACTGTTTTATTAAAATTTGGATCGTCTGATAATATAATATTCCATTCATTATCAGAGCTCAGTAGACATATTTTTAGATATTATTAGAAAGATGAATTAATAGATTATAATGAATGCGAGGCCCTATTTATTAATTTATCATTTATATTAATCATAAAGTCATATACAGTTTGGCATTTAAAAAAAGTAAAAAAATAAATAAAAAAGTTATTTAGATAAAAATGGGACAAATAATTACATAATAATGTAGTCCTTATTTAAGCAAATTAATTAAAAAATATATATAATCTAGGTAGCAGCTGTAGAACTGTCAAAAAACAAAAAAAAAGACATAATAATTATAAATAAAATAGTAAAAATTTAAATTGTGTACATAATAATAAAAAATGTACATACTCCTAAATGAGCTAGACAAAAAACACTCAAAACTAGTACTAATTAACGAGACACAACGTTTGTGTTAGTCGTGTGTGGATCAATCAGGCTACAGGCAACAATAAACATTCAATTCTACACCGTTTACGAAACTTTAGAGTTGATCGAGCGGTTTCTACACTTTAAATGCTTTAAACACAAACCTTTCTTCGGTCGAATCGCAACATGTGCGAGAGCGCGGCGCAGCCTTATGAGGTCACATCACCACAGCAAAATAAAAGTCCTGTTCACAGCTGCTGTCTAAAAGAGACAGAAACTCAGAGTTTAAATGTATTGGTGGAAAAACTTATTTCATTGTATGTTGTCCGAATATGTGCTGAAAATTAGGAGACTACTAGAGTGTGAGATTTTGTCTAAAAGGAAAAACTGTAATGTTTAGGTGAAGAAGCCATTTCTTACTAGGTATAAATTAGATTCAATTGCAGATGTGACATATGTGTGTGAGCCTGCAGCACAAAAGCAGTGTTGAGTCGCTGGGGGATATTTGTAGCAATAGCCAACAATACATTGTATGGGTCAAAATTATACATTTCTCTTTTATGACAAAAATCATTAGGATATTAAGAATAATAAAGATATTTTGTAAATCTCCTACAGTAAATATATCAAAACTTAATGTTTGATTAGTAATATGCATTGCTAAGAACTTCATTTGAACAACTTTAAAGATGATTTTCTCAATATTTAGATTTTTTTTGCACCAGATTCCAGATTTTCAAATAGTTGCATCTCGGCCAAATATTGTCCTAAAGCTTATTTATTCAGCTTTCAGATGATGCATTAATCTCAATTTCAGAAAATTGACCCTTATGACTGGTTTTGTGGGACATGGTCACAAATGTGATTTTTAAAAAGGGTGTACGAGTTTATAAATAAATATTCATTCTTGTGCAAGTACTAAAATGCAAAAAAGTTAGTTTTTCTCGTTTTAAAAATGTGGACATATAAAGTTCACTCAAGTCTAAAAACACCTAAAAGTATGAAATGTCTAAAATGTATGATTGATGAGATTTATTATATCTTAATAATCTTTCAACAATTATTGGCATTATTTGGGTCGCTTTTTTATATCCATTAAACTGATGCTAAATTTAAAAAAAAAATAGCCGTAAGCTAAAGAAAAACTAAGTCTGTCTACACTCTCAAACATCATATATTTTACTGTATTAGATTTCAAATGTCTTGTGATGTATACAATAGTTTTAGTATTATATTACAAAACAAGGTCCCACTTTATATTAGGTGTGTTTAACTATGTAATAGCGTGGTCTTTGTCAAATTTCGATTAACCGGCGATTACAAATAATAACTTTTTATTATATATTTGATTAAGTGTAGTAACATAACATTTTAGTATATTATATTAAAATATAACATTTTATTAATGAGCTCAAGAAGCTTTAAAAAGTGCCTTCGATGTGAAGGTGCAACGTGCTGTCCCGTTATGCAACACATCCTCAAGGTTTAATTCTATTTCCATACTTTCCCCTTGGACAAGGAAACACGTAAAAAATGTATTCACTATATCTGACGTGAGGATTTTAATACCACTCATAACACAAGAGTCTGCAGTCGTCACTTCAAGAGCGATGATTTGATCGAGCCATCGACTCCCTAAAAAAAATACTATGGAAGTCAAAGGTGCCCATCAACTGTTCGGATACTAACACTTTTCAAAATGTCATCTTTTGTGTTCAACAGAAGAAAGAAACTCATACAAGTTTGGAACATATTTCATATTTTCATATCTCATTTTCATGTAAATATTTAAAGCACCTTTGATAGTGTTTCTGTAAACGTGTAAATATAAATAACTTTGGTACGTTTCTGTAAACGTGTAAATATAAATAACTTTGATACGTTTCTGTAAACGTGTAAATATAAATAACTTTGATACGTTTCTGTAAACGTGTAAATATAAATAACTTTGATACGTTTCTGTAAACGTGTAAATATAAATAACTTTGATACGTTTCTGTAAACGTGTAAATATAAATAACTTTG